TTTTTTTTTTTTTTTTTTTTTTTAGACTTTTTTTTTTTTACAGAATTTGGAGATAATGGACGCTTTTCTTGGTGAAGTGTATGAAGAATTAAAAGGGCTGCTTGTGCTTTTAAGTTCACATTTGTCTATTTGTACCTCTTAAGGAGCATCTGTGTTCCTCCATGTGTCCATCAACGGGTCTGTTGCCATAGTGCTACATGGATATTACTCCATGCTGCTTTCTAAAAGCCCTGTGATCTAGGTGAATATAATTAATTTTATCTTACATTTTGAGGAAATTCAGTGCAGTGCAGTTATGTGAGAGGAGATAGTGACAAGCTGTAAGACCTATTAGAAGGAGGACTAGCACTGCCACTCACATGCCTAATCCACTGGAGTTTTCTAATGCCTATATCACTGTGTTCCTAGACAAACTGCTTTACTTCAGTGTTTGCTCAAATATAAAATGTACCTACCTTACAAGGATGCTTAATTTACTATTTTACAAAGCACAAACACACTCACCAACCACCAATAAAAAGATACATTTGCAGCATTCAAGTACAAAGTAGATAAGATGATGCATTTTTTTATAAAGGATATAAAGTCCTCAAAGCATACATTAACATCTAAGTAATGAGAACTTCCCCACTGTAAATAAGTTAATTTACAGGTGTTCTCTGTGAACATGTTTTTGCCCTCTCCTCTGCAGCTAATGGCTGCTGTCAGATTCTGGGTACTGGAGTTGCTGGCCTGGTCTGTATGGTAATTGCTACATTTTTAGAAAATAGCACTCACTAACGTTGAGCAAATGTTCTGCCCTGTAGCTGTATTTCCCAACAGACCCAAACCAAACAAAGAGATTTGAATTCGTATAAGGAACAAGAATGGATCAGAAAGGAAATATTTACCTTTGTACTTGGGGAAAAAATTAATGTGGCAGCTTTATGCTTCACCACACTCTAATTTTCCCATTGGTTAGATCATCATGCACTGAGTAGAGTCTGGCTAGCCCACTACCTTCTGCATCTTCTATAGTGTAGATGCATGTAATTGTTCCTCCACCGTCTTTACCCCACTCCTCAAGTACAGGTTCCTTCCTCTAAAGCAGTTAGAGTGAATATGCCCATGTGTATAGCTCAGACACAGTGTCCTCATTCTCAACCTGGCAATGGTCAGTGTTCTGACAGCTGAATGGTAAATTGTCTTCCCACATACCACTTGGTCACATGTCACTTAAAAACAAAACAAAAAAAAATGGATTTTATAGGATCTTAGGAAAGTAGGGGTAGAAAGGACCTTACCAGGTCATCTAGTCTACCCCCTGCTCAAGGCAGGATCATCCCTGACTAGACCATCTCAACCAAGCGTCTGTCTAACCTGCTCTTGAAAATTTCCAAGAATGGAGACTTCACAGTTCTTTAAGCAGTCTGTTCCAATGGTTGACTGTCCCTATAATCAGAAAGTTTCTCCTCATCTCCAAATTAAATTTTCCCTGCTGAAGCTTGAGGCTGTTGCTCCTACTTCAGTGCCCTACAGCCACAGAAGAAAAGCTCTTCTCCATCCTCTCTGTAAATCACCCTTCACGTATTTGAAGACTGTTATCAAATCCACCTTCAGTCTTCTCTAAGCTATGTAGCCCTAGCTCTTTCAGTCTTTCCACTTAAGTCTTTTTCTCCCAGACATCTAATTATTTTTGTTGCCTGAGCTGGGCTCCTCTTAATCTGTCCACATCTTGCTTGAAGTGTGTGGCCCAGAACTGGACCCAGTACTCCAAGTGAAGCTTCACTACTGCCAAATAGAGAAGAAGAATTACTTCCCTTGATATGTAAGTGACACTCCTG